GGTGCGGTGGCAGCATTTAATTAGCAGGGGCCAAGGATAAGACTGAACTTATAAGACTTCAAGGATAAGAGGAGGTAGGCTCCCTCCTCACAGATAAGGGCTGGGAAGGCTTCATCCTCAGGAAACCAGACCCTGCCCCCCTGCCCCAGCTCGGCTGTTTGAGAAGAACAAGGAGGTGCTGGCCCCCGGTGCCCACCCCCACCCCCAGACACACCAGCAGGAGGCCTGGCACAGGGCTGCCCAAGGTCTCCTTGGGCCTGGGGACCCTGTGATCAGGATGGGTGAGGCTGTGGTCCAGTGAGTCCAGGGCAACAGCCATCTGTACAAAGTGAAGTAAAGTCACTCAGTCGTGTCCAACTCTTTGCAACCCCGTGGACTGTAACCTATCAGGCTCCTCCATCCATGGGATTTTCCAGGCAAGAGTACTGGAGTGGGTTGCCATTTCCTTCTCCAATCCATACAAAGATCAAACCAAAAAGAAGGGATGGGGCCCAGATGTCCAAACTCAACATCCCCCACATAGAGGGAAGGAGTGGGGGCACCCTCCACCCAGGGGATCCTGCTAAAACAGAAAGGAAAGTCACCCTGCCGCTGACTGCAGGATGCAACAGACGTGGCCAAGATGCCCGTCCCCTCAGCCAGTCCCCACCTGTCACCGCCCACCAAATAGGGAGTGACCGGGCCTTGCTTTGGCCAGAACCTGAGGCTGGCAGGAAGAACCTTGCAATTTCTGCTTTTTCTCCCTCAACACTGTCCTGAGATGGCACCCCCCAGGAAGCTGCTGTGCCACTTTCCAGAAGGGGAAACCCAGATGCCGAGCCCTGGGAGTGAGAGGCGGCCACGGCCTTCCAGCCCCACGGCCGTCCAGCTGGGCGCAGCTGCTGGTAGGGCAGGGCATCGCCAGGGATGCCACTGAGCCCAAGAGATGGGTCAGCACGGCCTGGCGCAGCCGGGCCTCTGGGGGCTGTTTACGGGATTGCTGATGTGAGGAGAGCCCAAGGCGGCCCATGTCCCCGCCTGACCCCGACAGGGCCCTTTGAGTCCTTCCCCCAAGGGGGCTGCTTCATGCTGTACAACCTGGGGGTGTTTCCTCACCTCAGGTGACACCACATTTGCCCTGAAGTCAGTTCAGTGGGTCACACCCTGAGAGCCAGAGGTTGCAGCCAGCACTCTTAGAGAATAGTGTGAAATAGAACCAAACAGAACAGAAGGAAAACGATAGACGTAGAAGAGAATAGGTGTAGATTCAGAATCTAGTAGATACAGAGTCAATAAGTATAGACTTGTTTAGGCGCTAAGCTGTGTCACTCTCTTTGCGACCCCGTGGACTGTGGCCCACCAGGCTCCTCTGTCCATGGGATTTCCCAGGCAACAACACTGGAGTGGGTTGCCATTTCCTCCTCCAGGGCATCTTCCCAACCCAGGGATCAAACCCAGGTTTCTTGACTCCCCTGCAATGGAGGCGGATTCTTCACCACTGCGTCACCTGAGAAGCTCCAGATACAGACTGGCAAAGAATAAATGCAGGCTAGAGCAGACTAGACAGTATCTGAGAGTGTGGGAGGCAGCATGGCTGCGGGGAGACGTGTTTCAGACAGACACAGCACACGGAGATTCAAGTTTGTCCCAGACAGCAGTGCTGCGCGCTTTCTTCCCCCGGGTCGCCATGGAAACAGGTCCACTCTTCTGCCCAGTCACCATGGAAACAGTCCACTCTTCCTCATCATTCAGTTGCCATTCTGCCTCCGTCACCTCATGCTCAGACCAAAGTGTCCCCTTGTCCACTGAAAAGCGGACTGCAAGCATTCTGGCCGGCCCCCCTCTGGACTGTTCCTGGCCCCCATCCAGCCCACACGTGGCCACCGCAGCTCTGCAGCAGCAGACCGTTGCCAGACGCCCTGCCCTGTCCCCTATCCGCCTGCACTCCCACGTGTACCGTTTACCCGCTCTAAGAGCTGGCCTGAGCCCAGGAGAATCACCCAGCCCCCACAGGGTCACACAGCCCCATGGGGTCACAGCCTTCTATGGGGTCACACAGTCCCCACAGCCACTCCCTGGTCCCAGCACCCCAGAAGATTTTTGTCCCAAGAAGCTGATCTCAAAAAACCACAAACACCACCTTCCAAAGACCTGAAGCCAAGGCATGGAGTTGGGGGACCGTTCCAAAGGTTCCCATACAGTCAGGGGGATTGATGCTCCAGCATCTCAGGCCAGAGGCTCACCCAGACCCCTCACCCCGCCCAGCGGAAGAAGTCTGGTCTCCAGTCCCAGTGGCCCATCTGGCCAAACAGGCCACCAGGCTCCCCCAGCCCATGCTTGTCCCCTCATCCCTGTGGACCCCAGGGTGCATCCCCGTGGACCCCTGGGCTCCCCTGGCCCATGCTCATCCCCCCTCCATCCTCATGGACCCCTGGGAGCCCCCGGCCCACGCCCATCCCCTCCATCCCCGTGGATCCCTGGGCTCCCCTCACCCACACTCGTCCCCCCTCCACCCCATGGACCCCTAGGAGCCCCCAGCCCACACACATCCCCTCCATCCCCATGGACCCCTGGGCACCCCCGGCCCACTCTCGTCCCTTCCGTCCCCGTGGATCCCTGGGCTCCCCCGCCCACACCCGTCCCCTCCATCCCCATGGACCCCTGGGCTCCCCCTGCCCACGCTCATCCCCTCTATCCCAGTGGACCCCCGGACTCCCCGGGCCCATACTTGCCCCCTTGTGCCCGTGGCATCCATATGTGCTGCAAGGCTGAGCCTGCCGATGCCCTGTCCTGGGTGGCAGGCGGCCTCTCTCCCCACAGGCCCAGGGTGCTGACCAAGAAGATGGGCCCCAGGCGTTCCCTCAAGTCAGAGAAAACCAACCCGAAGTTCTCGGCCTTCAGGACCACCAAGTGTGAACCTGCACACAGCCCTTCCCCCCCCCCCCCCCGAGGTCTGCACTGCACCTGCAAGCCTGGGACACCCACAGCAGCCACCCAAGCCTTCTGTCCCAACAGCACCCATGGGGCCCACCCTTCCATCAGGGCCGGGACAGCCCGCGGGACCTGGTCTGGACCCCAGATCGTGGAGCGACACCCACCAGCCAGCCCTCCGGGGAGGCCCCGGGAAGAGGTTGGTCATGTCCCCCTGCCCTCGGGAAGCGGTGGCAGTAGGCTGAGGGGAGGGGGGCCCCGGAGGCACAGCAGCCCCCCTCAAGGCAGGAGAGGATGGGGGTGGTTGCAGATGCCACTCCCCTCCCCTCCTGACCACAGCACAGGCAGGCTCTAGGGCTCAGGGCCCAGCCAGCACCCTGAACTGCACAGGCGGCTGATTGGCCCTGAAGTGCTGGAGCTGGGTGGGGGACACGGCCAGCCCCCCAGAAGGTGACCACAGGACTGAGGTTGGCAGAGCCTGACCTCAGCAGCTGCCCACTCAGGCCTCCAGCCCAGACACCAGATCCCCGTCTCCTCTGCCCACATCCCCCTTTTCCCAAATGCCCACCAGTCCCAGGACAAGACCTGGGACAAGGCTGGCCGGTCAGGAGAGGGGGGCTCCCCACTGCCTGAAATGAAGCCCATGAGGGTGAACTCAGGGCAAATGCCCGGTCCAGGGCAATGCCCCAGGAGGACTTAGTCCATCAGGCGCTCAGGCCCCCAGGACTGAAGAAGGAATCTGGCCCCTGTGATGACACAGCCCCCACTTACCTCTGCAAGCCCCCCAGGGAGGACGGCATGCTGGCAGGTGGTGATCCGGCCTGGCCCCTTGTCCCACTTGGGTGGGAGGCCGCAGGGCACCAGCAGGGTGTGACGCTGGGCACGGTGGGAACTCAAAACGTGCACCTACCAGCCTGGGGTGGGGCCGCGCCCTGCACCCACTCCTGAGCCCGGGCCTTCCCCGGGGGAGGCCGGCGCCTGGCACACACCCACGAGCCTGCGCCCGCTCACCCTGCCCCGCTGCGCAGTAGGTCAGCCTGGGGGGCCTGCAGGGAGCTGTGGGCGGCGACAAGGCCTCTGGGTCCAGAACTCAGGGCAAGACGCAGATCCTGCCGAGGGTTGGTAGACGGCTCTGAGGACAAGGAAGAAAGCAGGAGCCAAAGTCAACAGCTTTTCTCTTTTTCCTCCTCCTTTTCAAAAGCTTCACCCAGGGAGAAAACTTAGCTGTTATTTACACCTTGGGCTGGAAAAGAACTTTCAAAGGAGGACATTCAGGTAGAAAAATTTAAATTTAATAGATTTTATTCAATGTAAGTACACTTCTTTCTTTTGGAAATAAATAAATACAATTCAAAGACAACAACCGAGAGAAATATTTGCAGCATTTTAACCAAATGTCCGGTCCATAGTGAAGTGAAGTCGTTTAGTCGTGTCTGACTCTTTGTGGCCCCATGAACTGTAGCCTACCAGGCTCCTCCATCCATGGGATTCTCCAGGCAAGCGTACTGGAGTGGGTTGCCATTTTCTTCTCCAGTTAGGTCCATAAGGAAAGACAAAATTCCCCACAGGATGGTGAAGCACCCCAGCCCCAGCCAGCCGGGGTCTTTGGCCATGTGGGTGCCGGGGGGCCACAGTGGCCGGGCACTTTGGGGTTGCCTGTCCACAGGCCCTTCCCCAGCCTGGTCTGACCCATCGGGGAGGGTAGGCAGACGTGCGCTCAGAACCCTCCCAGGCTTTTCTGGAGAGCTGGTGGAGAGGCCTTGGGCACACTCACTTTCTCTCCGATGGCACCTCGGACACAGCAGAGCTTGGGGGGCGGGGGCAGAGTTCAGGGAGCCCGCACCCGAGAAAGGGTGGGGAGAAGGCCGGGGCCCTGCCTCCCTGCCCCGTGGGGGTTCCGGGAGGGCCTTACTCAGGGGAGCTGGAGCCCCACACTATGTACCTCGTTTCTGTGGGGGGAGTGAGGATGAAAAGAGATAAAGACGGAAGCGCTGTGCTCCCAGCTCTGACCTCACGGGTGAGCCCCACCTGCAGCACCCGACACCAGACAAACCACGGGAAGGCTCCAGGGAGCGGCTGCCAGGACTCACGGGGCAAGCATGGGCTCGTCTATCCTGACAGACCGCTGCCCCTCATACCCTGCTGCCAGTGGAACCACACAGCCCAGCCCAAGGTCAGGAGGCAGGGCATCATCCGCCTGCAGCCGCCCTCTGTCCCCGGGGCCCTGGGGCAGTCCCCTCCCGGCACAGGAGGCCCCGGTTTGCTGGAGCAACTGGTCCTCCCCATGGTGCGGGTCTGAGGGGCTCCTTGACTTTCTCAGCGCCCTCGCTGGGCCAGGAGGCAGCTGTCTGCCCGGCTCCTCCGGCTCAGGGCTGGGCAGGTAAACGGCCATCACCAGCTCCGGCTTCGGAGGCCCATTGCTCCCGCAGCAAGGCGGCATGTGGCTCCAGCGGAATGAGAGTCCTCCCTGAGCACCCCCAGGGTGAGGAGCCCCACCTCCGGCCAGGGGTGGGGAACGCTAAGGGCCACATGTGAGGAGGTCTCGGGGCAGACCCCTCACTCTCCTACCCACCGGGGCCTCGGACTTCGCTGTTGCTACAAAAGTTTGCTCTCCTCCAAACGTTCCCAGACACTCGGTGATGGACCTGCGGGACGGGCTGCTGAGCAGACACCCCGAGGGTCCCCTGGGGCCCCACCTGCGGGGACACAGATGGTCCTGGGGTGTTGGCTCCAGGTGAAGGTGGCCAGGTGCCAGGCAGGGTCAACGGCTGCACCCCCAGTTCAGGGCAAGGCTGCTGGCGCCCAGAGCCGCAGCAGTCAGCATCTGCTGTCAAAGGCAGGGGCCCGCAGCAGGGCCTGCCAGTGCAGCAGGCAGCAGAGAGCAGGAGTGGACCACTGGCCCAGCCGAAATCAGGGCGTCTCAGGGCTCAGCCCTCAGGAGCCATGGGGAGGGCAAGGACGGGCCACAGGGCCGGAGCGGGAGGGGCTTCCAGGAGGGGAGATGCCCACGAGTAGCCTGGACGGGGAGCCAGCCGGGGCAGGGAGCGGACAGGGCCACGCACAAGCCTGACCCGGCCGCTGTGGGGGGAGGGCTGGGGGCTGGGGGGGCAGTCCTGGGCAGCTGGGGGCTGTCCTTGGGGGGGCTGCAGGCTGGGGAACTGGGGTCTAGGGGGCTGGGTGCTAGCCTTGCAGGGCAGTGGGGACTTGGGCCTCCTTTCTCCGGAGCAAACAGATCCCCACAGCGACAGGTGGGGAGTGGCCTGTCTGCATCAGAGAGACCCTCCATCAACCCAGCCCACCGGCTCACAGCTTCTGCGGACTCTCCCAGGTGCCTTCACTGAGTGCCCCACCCCCATCACAGCCCCTCAGGGTCGGGCTCTCGGGGGTCCCGGAGGATGGCTAGGAGCCCCGCATCCCCCTTCCCAGCCTCCTGTCATCAGGAGCCCATCTTGGACCCTGTGAAACCCCGCCTGTGACTGGGGCTCTCGGTCTCCTGAGACGGCCCTTTTCTGACCTCGGGGATAGGACAGGACGGGGGTCCCTGGGCAGCACAGCCCTGGGCTGCCCTGAGGACTTGGGAGCTCTGGTTAGGGGGCCACGGGGCCCCCACGGAGGCGGGCATCACTGCATGCCATCTGCCCCATGCCCGCGACCCTGCGGGTGGAACCCAAGGCCACTCTGCAGACAGGCCCCAGCACCCACTCTATGGGGCTTGGATGGGGGACAGCCGTGCCGCCCTGGGTCCCCACGGCCTGGCCTTGCCAGTGTCAGAGGCCTTGGCCTGGCGGCCACAGCCCTTGTCACCCGGAGTGTCCACGTCCCCGAGGGCCCAGATGCCCCCTCTGTCCTGCTCACCTCCTCCCGCGTCCGGAGGCCACGGTGCTGCTGGCAGGGGCATCTCCCTCTCACACGCCCAGCAGCCTACGCATTCCTCGCCTGAAGGCTCAGGCCGGCCCCACCTTTCAGGGGAATGCTCTCTCCTCACCCAACCCCTCTCCTGCCCCTACACCCACGGATGGGGTGGTGCATCGCTCTCCAGCTGGGGTCCCAGCACCCAGATCCAAGCAGGAGGAGCAGGACAAGGTGGGCGGCCCCAGCTCAGATCTGGGCTGGGGGACACAGGGAGGGGGCTGCCTGGGCTCAGGAGTGATGGCGGGAGCCCCTGTGAGGCCAGGGTTTGGGGGCTCCCGCTCACCCCGGCAGTGCCCGGGAGTCGACGGGACTCCAAGATTCCAACGAAGCGTGGGGAGCAGGTGCGGGGGCGTGGCCAGCAGAGCTGCGCCTCCTCCCCTGGGCTCCGCCCTGAACGGGGGCAGGGGGCGCGGCAGAAGGGGGTCCGCCCATCCAGAGACCTCGGATGCACCCCGCTCGCCAGCCCAGGGCCGGCGGCCCCTCGGGGCTTGGGCTGGTGAACGCCGGGAGCTGGTCACACGCAGGGCGGCCCCCACCCCTGCCCCGCCCTCCGGCTCTGAGTCCGGGGCGCAGAGGACCGGCAGCCGCCAGCCGGCCACCTTTCGACCACCCGACCTGCTCCCTCGCTGTTCCGACGCCCGGGCTGTGGAGCCTGCTGCTGCTCACTAAGGGGCCGTAGTCTGACCACGGCGCCGCCCCCCGGTACGCACGGACCACCTCGCGGGAGAGGAGAGGGGAAGAGGCCCTGGGTAGACAGGCCCACCAGGGATGCCCGGCAGCCGCTTTCTCACACACCCCTGCACCAGGAGCGGCTCCCCCTGCACCAGGAGCGGCTCTGGAAGCCTGCCAGGACGGACTGTCCCCGCAGGGCGGCGGGGAGGGGCAGGAGGCACCAAGGGCCGTCCCAAGTGCGTTCACCAGGGTGACAGTCCTGGAAGGGGCCACCGCCCGGGGAACAGGAGGAGACTCAGCCTGTTCCCTCGGCCCCCGGGGTCTGAGGGGCCTGGACCCTAGGACAGCAGGCCTTGGGCAAGGCAGCAATGGGGCTGGTGCCCCCCCCCCCCCCAGTCCTGGCAGAGGTCAGAGAAGAGACAGGGAGCAGGCCAGGGTCAGCATTCCGTGAGAGTGAGGTCAGGGGTCAGGGCCACCTGCACCTTTCTGGGGTCAGCGTCCTGACGGACATGCTCAGGTGGCCCACATGCAGGGCCACACGGCCACCAGTCTCCCCCAAGCCTGTGGGCTTACAGGATGGGGACTCTGCTCCTCTGCAGGCCTGGGCAGGGTGCCTCCTGTCCAGGTGCACCCCATCCCGGGGGCTGAGCAGTGGGAGATGTCTTTGAACCCCCAGGCTCTCCAGCAGCTCCCGCCCCTGCCTTCGGCTTCCTCCCACCCAGGGGCTTCGGGCAGCCCCTTCCTCACCACCCCTGGCCCTCCAGTGGGACCTCCTCTCACATAACCTCTTCTCAGGTTGCAGCTTAGAGGTTTTAAGGTGAAAATCAGCTTCCTCTAATCCAAAGACAATACATTCTCAGCCCCTCCCAGGCACCTTCGGGGATTATTCTGGGAAATCACAGGTGGGGGGGGGGTCTCTCCTGCTCCCCGCCCCAGACACAGGAGTCGTCAGGTCTGGAAGGCGGGCCTCTGGCAGTCCAGCCTGCTTGGCACCCTCCCTCTTGTTTCACTGACTCCAAGACACTGTCCACTGAGACACCCCAAAGCAGAGAGGCGTCAGGGGGGCTCAGACGCAGAAGTGAACCGTCACCAGCTGGGGGGGGCAGAGAGGACGGCAGCCCCAACCCCAGCGGCTGAGTCCTAGAACAAGACCCCCACCTTCATCACCCCCCACCCTCGGGGTCACCCCCCCACTCTCAGGGTCACTCCCACCCTCGGGGTCACACCCCCACCGTTGGGGTCATCCCCCCCACTGCTGGGGTCGCCCCCCACCTTAATCATGCCCCCCACCCTCGGAGTCACCCCAGCAGGAAACGCCTAATGTGAGCCTGCCTCCCAGGACCCAGCCTCTGCCACCTCCTCCTCTGGGGGGTTAGCCGCCCGGCCCCCTTGCCCCAACCCTGAAACAGGTGGGAAACACCAGCCTGCACCCCGGCTTCCAGTCAGAGGCCGAGCTGCAGGGGCTGCCCGCTGGAGGCCAAGAACAGAGACCAGCCACAAGGCGCTCGGGGAGCCCCACGAGGCCACGTGCTGAGCCCGGGATGGTGGGAAGGGGCCGGAGCCCGCCGCCAGGGCCCGCTGCCAGGGCCAGCAAGGCAGGAGGGCCCCAGAGCCCCGGGAGGCCCAGAGCCCCCAGTCCAGGCGGGTCCCGGGACCAGGTAGGGAAACAGCAACCCGTGGGGAGGGAACCACGTTTCAAAGCCTGGCAGACAGCAGGAGGGGCCAGTGGTGGACAGACTAGAAGGCCCCCAGCCCAGGAAGGCTTTCACAGGTGACCTGACACCCCCTCCTGGGCCGGCATGGGGGCTGGACATGGTCCCCTGGCCTGTGCCCTGAAATCCTGCTGAGCCACGACCCACCCCCCCCAAGGAGAACACCCGTCTCCCCCAGGGCACACCCCTTCCACAGCCAGGGGGTCCTGGCCAAGCAGGGGGCCTCCAGCCAGCCGTGGCACTGGGGTCGGGCTTGTGGCCCCTTCGAGGTGGGCTGAGAGTGGGCTGCAGCCCAGGCCTGTCTCAGCCATCCAGTCCAGTGGAGCCACGGGACCCAAGTCAGCCTGTGTCCGGCTCATCCAGGTTCGATCCGAGTGCACCTGCTCCTGCCAGAAAAACAAGGCAAAGTCTCTGGAAGTATAATGATGTCTCCTCCCCACCAGACCCTACCTCCAGACCCTCCGCAAAGTGAGTCCCCACCACGGTCTCCACGCCGGAGGGTTCTGTTGGAACCAGCGTCCAAGGGTCCGCATCCTTTCTCAGAAGCAGCGGTCTGTCCCCCTCTCTCCCCAAGGGCCTCGAGGGCCACACTTGCCTCCTCCTCAACAGGCGCACGGCCGGCGACCAGCTGCTGACTGACCACAGCTGCACACAGTGCTCTGTGCATTGCCTGGGGGCACCGCCCACCACCACATGTGCCCACGTGCCGTGTGCACACTCGTGTGCCGTGTGCGTGCCCGTGTGTTCTGTGTGTGTGTATGCAGGTCAACACTGCAGGGTGAGCCCCAGTGGCAAACTGCAGGGCCAGTGGTTGCCACTTCACTTTTTGACATTCGGGCAGACCAGCTTTGTCCTGCAAGGAAGCGGGGGTTCCCCTGCCATTTGCTCCCTCCCAACCCCAGTCACTAAGCCACCTTCTCAAGGCCCCACTGTTACTATAGCAGAAAATGCCTCCAATTGTTAAGCCTTCTAATAATTCATGCATTACTTTAAATCTCCAAAATAAACTTGCTGAGTCCTAACACTTCTTACGGGAGGTCTCTCTGCACCACAAAGGCCCCCACTGCACGTTGCAAACAGGACCTGACTGCCTCTGGCAACTTTAGGAAGCCACGAGAGGCCACACCTCAGGGGGCTGATGAGGCGGGCCTCCCAGTCACACAGTGGGGGACGGGGGACATGGCGTGGGGCCAGGGGCCGGGGCAGGGATGCCTCCCCACACACAGGTGGTCAGGCCCCAGGGCACTGACATTCCAGCGCTCAGGAACACAGTACACAGGCCCTTCACCCAGCTTGTGAGGCCACTTTCCTAGGAACAAATGGGATGAGAGAATCCTGGTTAATCGCTTTTATTGGAAGCTCATGGCACCAGAAAGAAGGCGAGTCCAGCCTCTCAGACCGTCTCCAAGCCCCAGCAGCTGCTCCAGGGGACCAAGGTCAACGGGGGAGCACCTGCTCGGGGTGACAGGATGCCTGTGGCTGGCGGGGCTTCTCACCCGGCACTACTGACGTTTGTGGTCAGAGCAGAACCGGAAAGACATCTCCATGGACGCGTCACAGCAAGTGCGATAAACGGGTGGCTGGCTTCTGAACCGCTGGGCCTTCCAGCAAGCAGGGACGCAACACACCCAGGGCAGGGCACACCCATCCCTCTGGCTCAGAGGGGACCAGTTGTTGTCCAGAAAGTGCCTGATGTCTCAGCTCTGCTGGTCAGAGCGTGAATGGACCTGCCTCAGTGCCCTGTTACCCACATGGAGTTCATTCCCTCTGCCTGGTGCCCCTCAGAGGCTTGCGCTGAGTGGGGGGCCAGTGGTAGGACTGCCCTCTCAGGGATGTACCCCATAAGGCGGGATCCCACAGGCCACAGGCAAGCAGGGGTGACCTGGTCGACCCTGAGTGGGCAGAACTGTGCGCCCACCCAGCCTGTCCAGGACCTGCAGAGGCATGGAGTGTCTGTCCAGCGGGCAGGCAATAGTGGACAGGCGGCCCTCTGCACTCGGCCCACCCAACAGAACAGCGGGGCTCCAGAAGACTCCTGCCGAGAAAGCCATGCGTCCTGGGCTTCACGGGGCCAGTTTGGGCCCCTGGACCAAGCAGCCAGTCGTCCAGCCTGCTGCTGGCTCTGTGGGTTGGAGGCTCTGCAGGCCCATCCCACGGGCAATGCCAAGACCGGATGGAGGCCCCCCAGTCTGGCTGCAGGGGGCCATCAGGTGTGGGTGGGCAGCATCTTGTAGGGGTTCAGGATGCCCTTGGGGTCCAGGAGGGCCTTGAGCTGCCTCATGAGCTGCAGCGCCTCGGGGGGCTTGCTGTAGCCAAGGACGTCCTTCTTCTTGAAGCCCAGGCCGTGCTCGGCGCTGACGCTGCCCCCGCTGGCCCGCCGTCCACTCGTACACGTAGGGCTCCAGGGTGCCCAGCAGGGACGCGCTGAAGGTCTCGGCCGTCACGTTGAGGTGCAGGTTGCCGTCCCCTGGAGAGGCAGGGATGCACAGGTCAGCGGGGCCTCCTCTGCCCCTAGGCCCTCTCCTCCCTGAGGTCCCTTCCTTCCCCAGGCCCCGCACTTCCTAGAGCCCCCAGCCCCGCCCCGCCCCGCCCCCCTTCACACCACTGGCGACTACCTGGAAGTGGTCACCGCCCTCCTCCGGGGGTCGTGGCGCCCCTAACCGCACACACGTGTCTCTCCGAGTTCTCCCCAGCCCCCGCCCCTCCCGCACAGCACCCCCTCCCTGAGGGCCCCACCTGAGATGGACAAACATCCGCCCAACCTGTATGAGCCCGGTGGGACCACCGAGACCGCCGCAGACCCGGGTCTCCCAGCACCCAGGAGGCCGCTAACCAGGTGGCCTGCAGCCTCTAACCCAGTGACCTTGGACCTCCGACCCTGTGACCTGGGGCTTCTTATGCCCCCTCCTCCATGCATGTCTGTCAAATGTAGGGAGCAAACCAGGGTCCCCTCTCCCACCAGACGCGGTTCCCACAACACACCCAGGGTGAAGGCTCTGCCAACAAGGGGAGCACTGCGGGGAGAGGAGCTGGGGTCCGTTAGTACTCACAGCATGTCCACACAGCAGCCCCCAGCATGGGCCTGCGGGGCCCACCCCGCCCCCACACCAAATTCCCTCCAGCTCAGCCTCCAATAATTCCCACAGATAAAAGCCTAAGACACACACACACCACACAAAGCCTAAGACAAAAATCACAAACACTCAGAAAAGAAACCATGACGACCAAGACCCACAAAGACCTGTGATCCAGTGATTTCCAAAAACAGAAAATAAATGCTTCATGTGTTTAAAGAAATAAGACAGAGAAAATATAAAAAACATGGACCAGAAAGCTTTTAAATATCAAGGCCAAACTAGAAATGAAAAAGATGGTCACTGAAATGTCAACGAGCAGAGAGAGATGTAGCAGGATGGAAAACAGACAACCACGCAGAGAACTGGGACCACGGCCGGCAGAGACGGGACGCATCCTGAGCCCTCGGGGGACACTCCGGGGGGCAGGGATGGGGAGACGGTATCCGCAGGGACAACTGGGGAGCGGTGTCTGAAGGCAAAGCCCACGGACTCCAGCTGACAGACACTGACCCACCTAAACAAAGCTGAGAGAAGCCAAGGAACCCCGAGGACAAGGATTTCCTTCCGTGGAGCACCACTGGCCCACGGCTACCTGCTGACAGCAGTCAGCGGTGCCTCCACTCTGCAGAGAACCGGGCTGTCAGACCGGAGTCTCAGAGTTCACTGAGGAGAAACTGCTCAAGAGCAGAATGCGTACATTTTCAGGCTAACAAAATCCACGACGTGATGTCACCTGCCTTCCCGGCCCAGAGGAAACTAAAGGCAGGGCTGTGCTACCAGGTCAAAGATGGACCAGCAGTGTGGGTGAGTCTGGCCAATCACGAGCTCTCAGGGCAGTAACAACAGCACTGCCACTAGGGCGAGAAAACATCACAGGAACTGGAACACACTCCACACACAGCATGTGACCAGGAGCGGATGATAACACCCAAGGGGCAGGGCCCCAAGGCCCCTGCTCCGAGGACCGGTCAGGCTCTCAGGAAAACAGGGGTGTCCAGAGGGTGGGGGACAGAGAGCTGACCGTAAGGAACTGGCCCAGCGGACTGTGGGGAGTGGTTAGCCCAGCAGGTGGACACCCAGAAACAAGCCGACGCTGCAGCTCTGGCCCAAAGGCCCCTCCCGTGGGGCACGTCTGTGTCCTGTGGTCCAGGCCTTCAATGATCAGGCAAGATCCTCCCACATGGGGAGGGTGACCTGCTTTATTCAAGCTCTGTGGCTTTAAATGCTAATTTCATCTCAAAACTGTCTTCACAGCAACATTCAGATTGACGTCCGACCAGGCATCTGGGCACACGGCCCAGCCAAGCTGACACACAGGCCAGCACACTGCTTGGGAAGAGGGTCACAATACTGATTAATCTCCAACTCTTTTAAGATAGGACCACCCTGATAAATTTGCAGGAAGAAATATCAACAACCTCAGATATGCAGATGACACCATTTTGATGGCAGAGAGTGAAGAGGAATTAAAGAGTCTCTTGATGAGGGTCAAAGAGGGGAGTGAAAAAGCTGGCTTAAAACTTAGTAAGATCATGGCATCTGGTCCCATCACTTCATGGTCATCAGAAGGGGAAAAAGTAGAAACAGTGACAGATTTTATTTTCTTGGGCTCCAAAATCACTGCAGATGGTGACTGCAGCCATAAAATTAAAAGATGCTTGCTCCTTGGAAGAAAAGTTATGACAAATATAGACACTGTATTAGAGATGAGAGATTACCTTGCTGACAAAGGTCCCTATAGTCAAAGCTACGGTTTTTCCAACAGTCATGGACAGATGTGAGAGCTGGGCCATAAAGAAGGCTGAATGACTGTCAGGAAGCATTTAACCAGAGGCTTCCCAGGTGCTGCTCTGGATCTGTCAGGAACCCTCTGGTCCTTATTGATTCCTGAATATTCAGGAATTAAGAGGAGAGGCACGCCTTTCCCGGGGCTGAGGAATCCAGGCATTTCTCATTACGGTGATAAGTACCCTCTTCCTTTTTATGAGCCATACGGTAAAAGGTGATTGTTTGCAACTCTCTCTTTGATAGGGATCATCTTATGTTTTGTAAGTCTGGAATTTTACTCTTTATCTTTGCTGAGAATAACTGCAGTATATATGCCCACTCCATGTTGATTAAAACACCTTTGCTCCATCAGAGCTTTGGTCCCTGTGTCTTTCTTTCTTTGTTTCTATTCCTTCTTTCTGTCTGTCTCTCTCTCTCTCTCTCTATTTCTGGCTAATTCCTTGGAGCGCGGAGGCCCGCTGAGCTAGCTTTCTTGCCCGGGCTTCTAAGACCCTCTCGAGAAGGCGCACTGTGCCTTCACCCACTCGAGAGGGTGCCCGGTGCCTACACGCAGGAGCGCCAGCCCTAAGAACAGGGCTCTATTGGCTTTCCATGTAAACCAGGGGCTATCAGTCTCTTTCTCTTACTCTCCGGGCCACCAGGTTCTGGTCCATTAAAGGACCAACAAGTGATGAAAAACTGGTGCTTTCAAACTGTGGTGTTGGAGAAGACTCTTGAGAGTCCCTTGGACTGCAAGGAGATCAAACAATCCTAAAGGAAATCAGTCCTGAATATTCATTGGAAGGACTGATGCTAAAGTTGAAACTCCAATACTTTGGCAACCTAATGAGAACAGCTGACTCATTGGAAAAGACCCTGATGCTGGGAAAGATTGAAGGCAGGAGGAGAACGGTGCAGCAGAGGATGAAATGGTTAGACAGCATCACCACCTCAAAGGCCATGAATCTGAGCAAACTCCAGAAGAAAGAAGAGGACAGAGGAGTCTGGCGTGCTGCAGTCCAGGGGGTCACAAAGAGTTGAACACAGCTAAGCAACTGAACACCACCACCACCCTGATAAAGATACAATTCTAGGGCTACTGCCAAAAGACCAGATAGGCATAATTTCTCGTTAGTAAATGGAAACAAACTCTATGAGAAAAAACACCAACCAAAAGAAGGTAATTCAGTTCAGTTCCGTTCAGTCACTCAGTTGTGTCTGACTTTTTGTGACCCCACGGACTGCAGCACACCAGGTCTCCCTGTCCATCACCAACTCCTGGAGCTTACTCAAACTCATGTCCATCGAGTCAGTGATACCATCCAACCATCTCATCCTCTGTCGTCCCCTTCTCCTCCCGCCTTCAGTCTTTCCCAGCATCAGGGTCTTTTCCAATGAGTCACTTCTTCTCATCAGCTGGCCAAAGTATTGGAGCTTCAGCCTCAACATTAGTCCTTCCAATGAACACCCAGGACTGATCTCCTTTAGGATGGACTGGTTGGATCTCCTTGCAGTTCAAGGGACTCTCAAGAGTCTTCTCCAACACCACAGTTCAAAAGCATCAATTCTTCACTGCTCAGCTTTCTTTGTAGTCCAACTCTCATATCCATACATGACCAGTGGAAAAACCATAGCTTTGACTAGACAGACCTTTACTGGCAAAGAAGGTAATAAACCACACTAAAAAAAAATAGAAGAAATGAGGGAGAAATCGAAGGCCCAAAGTCAGACCAATCCAGGTCACCGAGTGACTACGGTCTCTGTAAATGAAGGGCAGCAAAACATGCCACCTCAAATCAGGCCACGCTGGCATAAGGATTATTCTGAGCTGAAGGCAACTGAGAAGAAAGAGACACAGAGTAGCCCCCTGCCCTCCACGCACCTGGAAGCAGGACGAGAGTGTGTAAAGGCGTCCCCAGGCCCCGGCAAGGGCAGGGTCACCACCCGGGACAGCTCTGGGACAGCTCCTACATGAGGCTCATGTCCACCAGGTTCCTGTGTGTTTATAAATGTTCCCACAATTTGCCCCTGGACGTCTGTTGTCTTCCTTCATCCATGCTGTCTCCAAAGAGGTACTGTTCTTTGCTAAAATGCCCTACAAGTCGAGCTACCTGAAAGTGAGCAGGACCCCTCGGGGTCTCTCTGCTCAGCCTCCGTGACCTTCGCTGAGCTCCAAAGGGAAGACTGGAATAGTCGCTCATCAGGGAAGGGAGGGGTGCAGACACAGGGAGGAGGAGCCAAGAAGGACAGAGCAGCCTCGGGCAGGTCCTGGCCGTGAACCAGGGAAAGGGGCGGGGCGCGACCTTTAATAGGATGAGACGGCTGGACAGTCAGAGCCAGATGGGCCCAAGACGGCGATGAGTCAACCTCCACTAGACCCTGGGCCTCAGTACATGTCATCCTAACAGGTCAGCACGCCAGGGCCAAGGCCGACGCACAGAGACCAAGAAGTCGGCCATGATCCAATTTCTGGAAACCTCCGCCTCGCCCCCACAGCAGCTGGAACAATCCTCCCACTCATTAGCTTATGAAATTACTCGCCTAATAAACACTGGCTACCCCATATAAGGGGGACTCTCACCTTCTGAGATGGTGAGTGTGTCTCTCTCTAAATAAACCCGCTTCTTACCGACCATTTTATCTCTCACTGAATCGTTTCTCCAACGAGACCTCAAGAACCTGAGCATCATTAAGTCCTGAGATCAGGTGTGCGATCTTAGTTAAAAGACCATGGGTGGACTCCCCTGGTGGTCCAGCGGTTAAGACTCTGCCTGCCAACGCAGGGGACGTGGGTTCGATCCCTGGTCCTAGAAGATTCCGCATGCTGCAGGACAACTAAGCGCCGCCACTCCTGAGCCTGTGCGCTCTAGAGGCGCCCTTAGAGCTGTGCTCTGCAACAAGAGAAGCCGCTGCAGTGAGGAGCCCACCGCCCACTCCTGGAGAAAGTCCACACGGCGGTGGGGACCAAGCACAGCCAGCAGTAAGGCGGCAGCTGTTCACCGCCACACGCATGTTGCACGCTCAGCTGCTCAGTCGTGGCCGACTCTGCAACTCCATGGACGACGTTTAGCTCGCTCCTCTGTCCTGGGATTCTCCAGGCGAGAACAGTGGAGTGGGTTGCCAGCCATCCTCCAGGGGGATCTTCCCGACACAGGGATCGAACCTGCGGCTCCTGCTCTGCTGGTGGATTCTTTACCACTGAGCCACTGGGGAAACCCAGAAGTCACATAGCACATGTGAAAAAAATTTTAAAAAAACAAGAAAGAAAAGGCCATGGATTTTGGCTGCATTCGAGTCCCTGCCCCCCACCACATGGGTTTAAGTCCCAATCTGAGGTGCGTGGTTTCAGCTGCACCTCAAGGGACGCACATGACAGTATCTTTGAGCTTTACAGAACTAAGCACCCCCATAAGTGCAAGATGTCAGGTTGTTCATTCCACAGAGGATCCCAGTTTGCTAATCTGGAGAAGCTCAGGAGACATGTGAGGCCAGGCTAAAGGAATACATGCCCTGCTCACACCCTGATCCCTATCATCAACCGCGCCCGCCCTGCACCATCCCCATAAACTCCTCACCAGATCCTCCCAGCTTGGGACACAGGTTGGTGGCAGGAGCCCACTGTGTCTCCCCTGCCTGCCAAAGCAATAAATCTACTTTGTATTACTTCACCCCAAACCATGCCTCTGAGATTCGACCTGGCACCGGTGCACAGAGGCCGAGCTCTTGGCCTCAAACTGACAGCCCAGATCTCCACCTGCAGAAGCAGCTGAGGCACCTGGAGAAGGGGGCCCGCCCTCTGCAGGGGCGGGGGGCTCGCTCAGCCGCTGAGAGCCAAGCGGGCCCCAGCAACCGGCGGCGCAGAGGGCAGGCTGGGTCCAGGGGCCTGCTCTCAGCCCCGGCAAACGGCCAGGGAGGCTGGCAGCGCCCCAGGCAGGGGCCACACTTCCACCAGTGGCGCGCCCCACCCAGTCCTCTGCCCCCACAGGGCCAATAACAAGCCCATGGTCTTCAAGTGGACAGAAAACTCCCGCATGTTTGCAAGTTAAAACACACAGTTCTGCCCACCTCACGAGTCAAAGAAGCAATGACGAGGGAGATCAGAAAGCATTCAGAGCTGAAAGATGATGAGAGCACCCTCAGATGGCAGAGGAGCACCCAGCCAGCGGCAGAGACGGGACAGAGAGAGGCACCCAGGCACCCCCGACCCACTCCTCTGCAGAGGGGTGGCATCGAGCGCCCAGGGGAGCGGACGCCCGGAGTGGGCTGAAGTATCGGGCGTGCAGGGCCAGCGCCTCGGCCAGAGGACACAAGGACCTGGAGCCAGGTCTGGCCCCGCTGACTCCTGCGGGCGCTCCTGGATGCTGCCAAGTCTGAGGAGGCAAGAACCAGGTATTTCTTAAAACCAGCAAACACCACCTGTGTGCTTTCATGGAGGGAAATTGAAGTCCACTGAAGAGCAGAAAGGCTGAAAGTCAGAGAGCAGTGGTGACGCCTGAAAGTGCAGAATAAAGAGCAGGGAAACCCGCAGCGGGAAAGACCAGCAAGGCCCAGCGCTGACTCTGGAGAGACCGAGATCCACAGCACCCCAGCAGGAGAGAAAGCGATGTGGACGGGGCGGCCCTCTGCTCCAGTCACGAGGGCCCGGCCCTCAGCCCCTGCGCCCACAGCCCTGTGCAGAAACCCGGACGCACCCCGGCCTGAGACAGGTGAGGGCCACGCAGAATGCATGATTACCATGAGCCCTGATCCTACGCCTCCCCCCGCGAGCCCTGACCCTGCGCCTCCCCCTGCGAGCCCTGACCCCACGCCTCCCCCTGCAAGCCCTGACCCCGTGCCTCCCCCTGCGAGCCCTGACCCCGCGCGTCCCCCCGCACCTCCCCGCATGAGCACAGACCCCCATGCCTACCCCCGCGAGCCCAGACCCCCGCGTGAGCCCAGACGCCCACATCTCCCCACGCAAGCCCTGACCCCGCGCCTCCCCGCGTGAGCCCAGACCCCCACACCTCCCCCACGTCTCCCCCTCGCGAGCCCTGACCCCACGCCTCCCTGCAAGAGCCCTGACCCCTCACCTCCCCGTGCGAGCCCAGACCCCCACACCTCCCCCCCCGTGAGCCCAGACCCCTGCGTCTCCCCGCGCGCGAGCCCAGACCCCGGCGCCTCCCCGCAAGAGCCCTGACCCCACACCTCCCCATGCGAGCCCAGACCCCCGCGCCTCCCCTAGCAAACCCTGACCCCGCGCCTCCCCGTATGAACCCAGACCCAGCACCTCCCCGCGCAGTGAGCACAGACGTCACTGCCGTGGGATGCCTGGCTTTTGTGAGGAGCACTGATCCTTTGTTGTTTGACTACATGGGTTTTTCTATCCCCAGCGGAAAGCCCCTACGTATCCTGGCTCCTCCCCTGCCTCCGGGAGCAGGCCCTCTGCACCATCGGAGAGCCCGCTCCCCGCCTAGAGCTCTCGGTAAGGTCCCAAAGAAAACAACTCACAACCTTCGGGTTGTACAGAGATAAGAAACAATCCAAATCCGGAGTTAAACAGTCCCCTTCCGCAAGTGCTGGACACGGCACAAAGAAATAATAAGAACCATGAGATGCCAGAACACTCAGAATCTTAGAAGAGACAGACAAAAGGCCAGAAAACAATGAACAGTCAATTCTGAAGAAAAGGAACTGGCAGAGTCCTGTAGTCATTAAAGAAACTGCCCCCCCCCAAAAGTCACCCACAAAAACCTTCAGGCCCAAGTGCCTTCATCTGCAAGTTGTACTCAGCATTCACGGAGGAGGAATTCCAACCTGCCAGACGCTTCCCGAGACGACCCCCAGCTCGCTTTATGACTGGCCAACCTCCAGCCTGGACAGACAGGGAGCCTGACAGTGTAGGGCTGAGGAGGTCCTCTGCGGGGTCAGTCAGCGGGCTCAGACAAGACGCAGAAAGGGTCCGGGCCACGCTGGGCTGACCCGGAGACACAGACCCACTCGCCTCCGGGTCCAGAGAGACGAGCCCTGCAGGGTGTCAACGGGAAACCGGAGCCCGGCACCCGGGCAGACGCCGAAAGAGCATTCAGCAAATTCAGCAATCTGTCTCAATTTCCAGAGTGGAATTCCTCCACGTGACGCATTCAGGGCCCCCACACACAGTCCCAGGAGGCGGAACTGGGCCCACCTTACGGAAAGGACAGCGGAGGCCCCAGGCAGACGGCACCCCACACCTGGGAAGAGACGGGGCTTTGAGACACCCGGTCCTGAAGGCTGCTGAGAATCAAGGGGGATGAAATTGCTCCTTCCTGTGAATCAATAACTTATAAGCATGACTCTTCTGCATACAATAATGACCGGAACTGGTTTTAAGACCCTTTCATCTGGAGGGAGGGCAGGGTCAGAGCTCATCCTCAAACACGAGACCCCCGTGATCAAGCCAGCCCCGCGCCCCAGCCAAGCCCCGAGCCCACGCTCCCAGGGTGGGCCTTCCCGGGATGCCCCAGGCATGCCCCCCGCCCCGCGGGCTGTGCTCACCCAAGTGTCCATAGCCCACCACGCGCTTGGCGCTCGGGCCGAGTCGGGCACGCAGGTCGCCCACGAGGTCGTACAGCCTGTCCAGGGGCAGCGAGAGGTCGTACTTGTACACATAGCCATCGCAGCTCAGGGCCTCGGTGATCCTCTCCCTGAGTGCCCACAGCATCTGGAGGGGGAATGGGCACAGTCACCCCGAGCGGGCAGGGCTACAGGGTGACCCCGGAGTCGGGAGGGAACCCCCAGGTGACAGAAACGTCCCGTGTCGTGACAGGGATGCGGCTTCCATCCAAGAATCCACACTGGACGGGGGCCCCGGACGCGGCTGGGCAGCCCCTGGCGGCAGACACCCAGGGCCCCTCAGGGACAAGCTGCACTGACCCTGTGACCCAGGATCGGCCGGGCAAGGTGGGGGTGAGGCAGACAGAGGGGCACCCCCGGCCCGGGGACAGAGGTGGGGACCTCACCACGGCCCCACACCCTTCCCAGGGCCCCACGACATCCCTTCCCGTCACAGACAGATGGGAGGGTGTCCCCAGGGGCCGTCTCGTCCCCCCCCCCCATCCTCCACGTCCCCCCACCACGTCGCAGGAAACCTCGAGATGAGGCAGCTTTCTGGGTAAGAGAAAACATCACTTCTTTCGTTTCTTTTTTAACAAGCCCACGGTGCAGTAATCACCCCTGAGTAAGGAACAGTTCCTCAGCAGCACGGATACCCAGCGGGTGTCCGCGTTTCCCCAGTCGCTCAGCACCATGGGTCGTGCCCTTCCCGCGCCTGGGCGCCCCAACCATCGTCCTGGCCTGATGCTCCTCCCACGCCCGGGGCCCGCCACATCCCTGCATGGGCGGCCTGAGCCCAGCAGCCCTGCCCGCCCCGCACGGCCTCCTCAAGCCCTCATGTCCCGACACGGCCACAGAGCTGCAGGCCCCTTGTCCACCCACTCCGCCCACTACTCCAAACCCACTCTCTCTAGAACATTCCATCTGCAACGCCTCTGTGCCCTGCAAAGCTAACGCTGCTCCCCCAGCCTATCCAGGCTCAAACGCCCCCGACCCCCACCCCGTGTCACCGCCAGGCCCCCGGATGCAAACACTTGAGAACAGGGCACCGAGGCAGGCAGCGTGACCCCGGGGGTGGGACCCACTCTGGCCCCGAGCTTGGAACACGGCCATCCACCCGCCCCGCACAGCAGCCTGGAGCTCGGTGCGTCCAGATGGAGCCAGGGCCGCTGGAGCTGGGCCCCCCATCACATGTGCCCGGCTCCTGTGCCTGGAGGGACAGGGCCCAGCTCTCAGGCCCGAGGCCCAATGGTTCCTCATTCCCAGGCAACAGACAGAGTGCACTTAGGGGGAAACATGGGATGCAAGCCCCAGCACTGGGCCCTGGTGGGGAGAGGATGCACCACTCCCAGGACACAGCCCTCCATACCCCCCGGACACAGCCCCCATCCCCCCCAGGACTCAGCCCTCATCTCCACCCAGGACACAACCCCCATCTTCCCCAGTACATAGACCCCAGGACTCAGCCCCCATCCTCCCCAGGACACAGCCCCCAGGACACAGCCCCCATCCCTCCCAGGACACAGCCCCCATCCTCCCCAGGACACAGCCCCCATCCCCCCCAGGACACAGCCTCCATCCCCCCCAGGACACAGCCCCCAGGACACAGCCCCCATCCCTCCCAGGACACAGCCCCCATCCTCCCCAGGACACAGCCCCCATCCTCCCCAGGACACAGCCCCCATCCCCCCCAGGACACAGCCCCCATCCTCCCCAGGACACAGCCCCCATCCACCCCAGGACTCAGCCCTCATCCCCACCCAGGACACAACCCCCATCTTCCCCAGTACACAGACCACAGGACACAGCCCCCAGGACACAGCACCCATCCCCTCCAGGACACAGCCCCCATCCCCCCCAGGACTCAGCCCCCATCTTCCCCAGGACTCAGCCCCCATCCCCCCCAGGACACAGCCCCCATCCTCCCCAGGACACAGCCCCATCTTCCCCAGGACTCAGCCCCCATCCCCCCCAGGACACAGCCCCCATCCTCCCCAGGACTCAGCCCCCATCCCCCCCCAGGACTCAGCCCCCATCCCCCCCCAGGACACAGCACCCATCCCCTCCAGGACACAGCCCCCATCCCCCCCAGGACTCAGCCCCCATCTTCCCCAGGACTCAGCCCCCATCCCCCCCAGGACACAGCCCCCATCCTCCCCAGGACTCAGCCCCCATCCCCCCCCAGGACTCAGCCCCCATCCCCCCCCAGGACACAGCCCCCATCCCCCCCAGGACTCAGCCCCCATCCTCCCCCAGGACTCAGCCCCCATCCTCCCCCAGGACTCAGCCCCCATCCTCCCCAGGACACAGCCCCCATCCACCCCAGGACACAGCCCTCCATGCCCCCCAGGACACAGCCCCCCATGCCCCCCAGGACACAGCCCCCATCCCCCCAGGACACAGCCCCCATCCCCCCAGGACACAGCCCCCATCCTCCCCAGGACTCAGCCCCCATCCTCCACCAGGACACAGCCCTCTATGCCCCCCAGGACACAGCCCCCATCCCTCCCAGGACACAGCCCCCATCCCTCCCAGGACACAGCCCCCATCCCCCCCAGGACACAGCCCCCATCCCCCCCCAGGACTCAGCCCCCATCCCCCCCCAGGACACAGCCCCCATCCCCCCCAGGACTCAGCCCCCTTCCCCCCCAGGACACAGCCCCCATCCTCCCCCAGGACTCAGCCCCCATCCCCCCCAGGACAGCCCCCATCCCCCCCAGGACACAGCCCTCCATGCCCCCCAGGACACAGCCCCCATCCCCCACCAGGACACAGCCCCCATCCCCCACCAGGACACAGCCCCCATCCTCCCCAGGACACAGCCCCCATCCTCCACCAGGACACAGCCCTCTATGCCCCCCAGGACACAGCCCCCATCCCCCCCAGGACACAGCCCCCATCCCTCCCAGGACACAGCCCCCATCCCCCCCAGGACACAGCCCCCATCCCCCACCAGGACACAGCCCTCTATGCCCCCCAGGACACAGCCCTCTATGCCCCCCAGGACTCAGCCCCCATCCTCCCCAGGACACAGCCCCCATCCCCCCCAGGACACAGCCCCTATCCTCCCCAGGACACAGCCCCCATCCCCCCCAGGACACAGCCCCCATCCCCCCAGGACACAGCCCCCATCCCCCACCAGGACACAGCCCTCTATGCCCCCCAGGACACAGCCCTCTATGCCCCCCAGGACTCAGCCCCCATCCTCCCCAGGACACAGCCCCCATCCCCCACCAGGACACAGCCCCCATCCTCCCCAGGACACAGCCCCCATCCTCCACCAGGACACAGCCCTCTATGCCCCCCAGGACACAGCCTCCATCCCCCCCAGGACACAGCCCCCATCCCTCCCAGGACACAGCCCCCATCCCCCCCAGGACACAGCCCCCATCCCCCACCAGGACACAGCCCTCTATGCCCCCCAGGACACAGCCCTCTATGCCCCCCAGGACACAGCCCCTATCCTCCCCAGGACACAGCCCCCATCCCCCCCAGGACACAGCCCCCATCCCCCCAGGACACAGCCCCCATCCCCCACCAGGACACAGCCCTCTATGCCCCCCAGGACACAGCCCTCTATGCCCCCCAGGACACAGCCCCCATCCCCCACCAGGACACAGCCCCCATCCCCCACCAGGACACAGCCCCCATCCTCCCCAGGACACAGCCCCCATCCTCCACCAGGACACAGCCCTCTATGCCCCCCAGGACACAGCCTCCATCCCCCCCAGGACACAGCCCCCATCCCTCCCAGGACACAGCCCCCATCCCCCACCAGGACACAGCCCCCATCCCCCACCAGGACACAGCCCTCTATGCCCCCCAGGACACAGCCCTCTATGCCCCCCAGGACTCAGCCCCCATCCCCCCCAGGACACAGCCCCTATCCTCCCCAGGACACAGCCCCCATCCCCCCCAGGACACAGCCCCCATCCCCCCAGGACACAGCCCCCATCCCCCACCAGGACACAGCCCTCTATGCCCCCCAGGACACAGCCCTCTATGCCCCCCAGGACTCAGCCCCCATCCTCCCCAGGACACAGCCCCCATCCCCCCCAGGACACAGCCCTCCATGCCCCCCAGGACTCAGCCCCCATCCCCCCCAGGACAGCCCCCATCCCCCCCAGGACACAGCCCCCCATGCCCCCCAGGACACAGCCCCCATGCCCCCCAGGACACAGCCCCCATCCCCCACCAGGACACAGCCCCCATCCCCCACCAGGACACAGCCCTCTATGCCCCCCAGGACACAGCCCCCATCCCCCCAGGACACAGCCCCCATCCTCCCCAGGACACAGCCTCCATCCCCCCCAGGACACAGCCCCCATCCCCCCAGGACACAGCCCCCATCCCCCACCAGGACACAGCCCCCATCCCCCACCAGGACACAGCCCTCTATGCCCCCCAGGACACAGCCCCCATCCCCCCAGGACACAGCCCCCATCCTCCCCAGGACACAGCCTCCATCCCCCCCAGGACACAGCCCCCATCCCCCCAGGACACAGCCCCCATCCCCCACCAGGACACAGCCCCCATCCCCCACCAGGACACAGCCCTCTATGCCCCCCAGGACACAACCCCCATCCCCCCAGGACACAGCCCCCATCCCCCCAGGACACAGCCCCCATCCTCCCCAGGACACAGCCCCCATCCCCCCCAGGACACAGCCCCCATCCCCCCAGGACACAGCCCCCATCCCCCACCAGGACACAGCCCCCATCCCCCACCAGGACACAGCCCTCTATGCCCCCCAGGACACAGCCCTCTATGCCCCCCAGGACACAGCCCCCATCCCCCCAGGACACAGCCCCCATCCCCCCCAGGACATAGCCCCCATCCCCCCAGGACTCAGCCCCATCCTCCCCAGGACACAGCCCCCATCCTCCCCAGGACTCAGCCCCCATCCCCCCAGGACACAGCCCCCATCCCCCCAGGACACAGCCCCCATGCCCCCCCAGGACTCAGCCCCCAGCCCCCCCAGGACATAGCCCCCTGGACTCAGCCCAGCAAGCCCAGCCTCACAGGAAGGAGCGGCCAGAGCAGCTGACAGGAAGGTGGTGGGTCACTAGGACGGGGAGCAGGACTTAAATCACAGGTCAGGAGGTGAGGGCCATCCAGGAGCCCAGACCGGAGGGCCAGGCGGGGACAGGAGGGGTGGCCGGGCCCTCTGCCCCAGCCCCCAAATGGCAAGCGTGACCCCCCCAGCGCCCACATTTGCACGGTGACAGCGGCCTCACCCTGGCCAGGCCCACCCTCCTCACCCTCTGGTGAAGCCCCTCCCAGGGAGCCCCCACGCCCTGCCCAGCCAGCGCCCAGTCCACAGACCCTGACACCAAGCATGTTCCAGCGGGGCGGCCGGTAGGCGGGTCCCCAGCCGCAGCCCCTCTCACTGTAGTGCATGGTGGGCATCGCCCACCTTGATCCTCCTCTCGTCGCTGCCCAGGGTCCCGTCGGTCACCAGCCCCGAATCCAGCACCTGCTCCAGGAAGCAGCCCAGCTTCTCGGCGTCGTGCCCCGGCCCGGAGCCCGCGGTCTCAACGAGGACATAGAAGGGGCTTTCTGGAAGGGCAGGGGCAGGGAGAGCAGGGAGCGGCGGTCAGGGGAAGGCTGGGGTGGGACCGCCAGGGCCAGGGGGCTCCAGCACCTCCCGACGCGCCGGGGTCACCCACAGAGCAGCCACCGGCTACTGCGGCTCAAAAACAGGTCTTCCTCTGTAAGACAGACAGTGCCCCTGGAGACACGGCAGAGCCGGGCTGCTGGGGCGGGACCGCGCCGTGGAGGGCAGGGCTCCTCTCATCAAACCGCAGGGTGAGCGGAGGTGTGGTGCCTGCCGAGGTCGATGACTCCCTGGGGGCGCTCTGTGCATCCAGGGGCCCTCCACACCCCCAGGGGCCCTCCACCCCATGAGAGACTCCCCACTCACACCAGGGACCTTCCCACCCCCACCCCAAGGGACCCTCCACTTCTGCAGGCCCTCACACACAGAGAAGACGCCACGTGAGGACCCTCACCAGAACCCAGCCCCTGTGGAGCCCTGGTCCTGGACTGGCAGCCTCCAGGATGGGGTCTGTGCTGAGGGCTGCGGTTCCGGAAGGGTGGCCTGGGGTGAGACCAGGACCACCTCCTCTGGTCAGTTTCAGGAGTGAGAGCGCCAGGACCCGCAGCTGTGCGGGTTTACACACATGCACACAGCGCACATGGACTCAAGAACCAGGCGTGACGAGCTCGTCGGCTAAATCAGAACAAGCTGGCTGAGCTCCGGGGGCCAGCACGTTGTGGGGAGATACTTCTCCCAGCTGAGGAGCCGGCGGAGGGTCCTGACTGCGTCTGGCTGTTCCAGAGACCCTGCAGCTCCAGCACAACTGCCAGCATCTGACCCAGCTCTGCAGGGGAAGGGATCTCAGGGGGAACCCCGCCCTCAACAGCGACAGGGCCGCCAGAACCGCTGCGCTCCCTGCCGCCTCCACTCCGTGGACAGGCTGGAGGCCTGGCACCTTCCATCACCCACACGCAAAACAGCGCAAAAGGTGTGGCGGGCACTGCCTGCCGGCGGGGACAGTACCTTGCACGGGGCAGGAGAGACCGAGGTGGAGCCTGACCAGCTTCATGCACTCAGCGTCCATGAACTCAAACGCAGACAGGATCTCGCCCAGCATCGCCCTGCAGGTGCGGAAGGTCTGCAGAACCTCAGCAAAGCCCGGACAGCCTACGATGGGCATGGTGAGAGGACAAGCAGACTGGCATGCAGACACGGGGCCTCGCCACAGGCCACCCGAGCCGCCCTTCAAGCAGCAAAACCAACCCACCCTGCCAACAGCCAGTTGGAAGTCTGCAAACACACGGCCAGAAACTGGCCCGTAGGGAAGCAACTTGGCTGTGTCTCTATGATACCCCAGGCCCCACAAGCCACTCAGGGCACATGTCCTGGCCCCCAGCTCTCCGCAGCGCCATAGCACCCGGGGCAGGGCGCGGACGTCGATGTGTGGGCAGGCAGGGCGGGCCCAGAAGAGCCCGGTGGGCACGGGGGTGTGCGCGGCCCTTCTGGGCAGGGATTGGGAGGCACTGAGGAGTCCCGGGGAGGGCAGGGAGCAGGGTCGGGGCCGGGACCCACTCTGTGCGGCCAAGGAGCAGCCGGGGGCAGCCTGTGAAGCCCAGCAAAGGGAGCTGAGCAAATTGGAGACAGATCGGAGGAAAGCTTCCAGAACGCAGCACAGAGGGGCTGGAGGGAAACCCGCGCGGCTAAGACACGTGGAGACCGACAGCCCAGAAGGTCCTCTCATGCGTCTCACCACCGTGCTGGGAGGAGCGGGGGCCGGGGTGGCTGCTGAGAATGCGGTGGAGGGAAGCTTCTGGAAGTGGGGGCTTTAGGAAGTTCCAGAAACAAAGAAATGCACTCTCACAGGAGACACACTGGGACCCATAAACAACCAAAGGAAAAGACGAAATATTTACGTCGGCCAAAGAAAGGGAGACAGCCCCTCAGGGTGGCCGCAGGGGATGCCGACCCGCCACCGCCAACCACGGAGCGGTGAGGAGCGCGGCTCCCACAGGATGGGAGACAGCAGACGCCGGGGCCGCCTTCCAGGAAAGGGGAGGAGGGAGACGTTCCAGACAGACTCGACAAGGACCCCACAGCCACGGGCGTCCGTGATGGGAGCAACCAGGATGTGTTCACAGCGCGAGGCCGGGAAAGCCCACCGCAGGAGCGCAGGAAGGGTGAATGTGAGATTACAGTGACGACCAGCACGCCAGACAGAATCAGGACAAGACCGCGGGTGGGGGAGCCGCAGGCCGCAGCCTGGTGCGGGTGGACGGGGGCAGGGGAGGAGAGGCACAGCGAGCACGCACGTGGGCCCTGGGCCAGGGGAGCCGAGAAGCTGCACGGCTGGAGGGGCCCCAACGCGCTCGCCGAGACGGTGGTCCAGGAGCGGGGCTGGGGGGTGAGCCACTGGCCCCACCAGGTGCACTAACAGCCCCGAGATGAACAGACGCAGCCCTGGACCTGGCACCAAACACTGCTTCGCTGCAAATCTTATGGCGTGAGTGAGTGAGTGAGTGACAGGGAATGAAAGTCGCTCAGTCGTGTCCGACTCTGTGTGACCCCAGGGACCACAGCCCGCCAGGCTCCTCTGTCCATGGGATGCTCCAGGCAAGAAGACTGGAGTGGGTTGCCATTTCCTTCTCCAGAGGATCGTCCCAACCCAGGAATCAAACCCAGCTCTCCTGATTAATCTTTTAGTTTTGCTTACTTTTGGTCTTTACCCTACAGCATAAACTGTTATTTAAGAATAACAAACACCAGCTGGATGAGATGCGCGAAGCCCTGGTCCTTTTACAGAATAAAGCACGCCCTGCGCAGACCCTACCGTGCGCACCAAGGCCAAGTCCCGGCCTGAGGGGAGAGGGAAAAGCAGGAGGAACGGGAAGGGCGGCCCGCGCAGCTGCAGACAGCCCCCTCGCCCCGCCACCCCGCCACCCCGGCACAGGCAGTGCCGCCCAAGAACCCCCCGGAGGCTGACGGAGGGCGCCTACCCAGGAAGGCCACGTTCACAGCGCTGGGCTTGGGCGGACACAAGATGGACACGGCCGTGATGACCCCCAGGGTGCCCTCCGACCCAATGAAGAGCTGCTTCAGGTCGTAGCCTGTGTTGTCCTTCCTCAGAGACGTGAGGCAGTTCAGGACAGTACCGTTGGCCAGCACCTAGAGATGGCATCAGCACTGGCCCCACGCCACCCTGGGGAGGCCAACCCACCCCATGCACCCTGAGAGAGAGCCCCGGGGTGGAGGAGGGGGGCGGGGGAGCACCCGGGGTGGAGGGGGGAGCACCCAGGACAGAGTGGGGAGCATCCAGAACAGAGGGGGTAACACCTTGAACGAAGCAGGGAACCTGAGGCAGAGCAGGGAGCACCCGGGATGGAGCAGGGAGCATCTCAAGTGGAGCAGGGAGCATCTCAAGTGGAGCAGGGAGCATCCGGGATGGAGCAGGGAGCACCCGGGATGGAGCAGGGAGCATCCGGGATGGAGCAGGGAGCACCGGGATGGAGCAGGGAGCATCTCAAGTGGAGCAGGGAGCACCCGGGATGGAGCAGGAAGCATCTCAGGTGGAGTGGGGAGCACCCGGGATGGAGCAGGGAGCACCCGGGATGGAGCAGGAGCATCTCAGGTGGAGTGGGGAGCACCTTGGGTTGAGTGGGGAGCATCTGAGATGGAGCAGGGAGCACCCAGGGTGCAGGAAGGCAGGGAAAGGCAGTGCACCAGCGCCCCCAGCCCTGCACTCCTCATCCACAGGCACTTCAATCACACGCTCTAATCCTATCTAACTTTCGTTGGGTGAATTCAGTCAGAAGCTTAGTAAAACATCTTGCAAAAGCGAGCAAGTGACTGACAAAACAACAACCTGCAGCCAGAGAACAAAGCTACGGGAACCTTATGATTTATCAGACGGAAGCGGCCCCCTCCTTGGGTAAACACAGGGTCCGGGCTTTAGAAAACCGCTGGGAGCCGTGACGGGGGCCTGACTGGGCTCCTCCGGTCACGAGCCCCTGGAAGCCGGCAGGCGGAACGCCACCGGTCCAGGAGACTGCCCAGGGCAACAGCTGCCACAGCAGCCCTCCACGGGGACAGGAGGTGCGTCGTCGCCTTGTGGGGAGCCAGAGAGCAGGGTGCTGCATCTAACCCCCACAGCCCGGGTGGGGCCTAGTGGAGACTAGGCCGCACCCCGAGGTGGCCTCCCTGCCCACCTGCAGCCCGAGAGGGCAGCCCCAGGCCTTGGCCTGCACACCCCGGGTGCCATGCATGGGAGCAAGGGTACACCTGACCTCTGAGCCAGGGGGGTCTCACCAGAGACCTCGCATGCTGACCACTGGGAAAGGCCGGCCCCCTGGGACCAACCCAGGAACCGGAGCAGGTCCGGCCAGGTCGCTAGAAGCAGGGCCAGCGCCCAGCGGCAAGTGTCCCCAGCTCACCACTTCCAGGCCCAGGACTGTCCCCCGCAGGGAGCCATATCGCAGAAACCGCAGGCCGCCCGCGTTGGTAGCCACATTGCCCCCGATGTGGCAGCTGCCCTTCGCCCCAAGATCCAGAGGCATGACAAAGCCCCGCTCCTCCACGTACTGGCTCAGCGCCTCCAAAACACACCCCGCCTGGCAGACCAAGACCCCTGCCAAGCAAGCAGAGCCCCCGCGGGGGCCCTCAGGCTCAGCTCGGGGAGCCCATCAGGCCAAAAATCCCAGGAGGGGCGTCTGCCCACCCAGGAACCAGGGCGAGGAGGAAAACAGGTATGCCCTGTCCCTCCCCCAGGAGATGCCTTTATGGGAAAAGAGGAAAGGCCAGTGAGACCACATGGGGGGAACACGGCTCACACACACAGGCTCACGCAAGGGAGCAGTGAAAAGGGGTTCCTACAAGGCTGGGGCCCTCAAGTGTGGGTGGGATTCTGCCCCAGGGGACACGTGACAAGTCTGGAGATAATCTGGGTTGGAGATGGTGCCGGCATTGAGTGTGGAGGCTGGGATGCTGCCCAGCTCCCCAGTGTCCAGGTGCCCTGGCCAGAGAGCATGATTGGCCCAGGGGTCCTGCCCAAGAGGCACTGACACAGTTGTGGGGCCTGGAGCTTTGAAACCGTGGAGCCCCACACATGCCCCGCAGGCCTCAGGAAGGGCTGGCGTGGCCAGGAGGGCCCGCAGCACAGCTCAAGTCCAGGGTGTAAGTCGCCCCGAGGACCAAGGGGCCTGGGCTCCTGGCTCAGGCAGAGGGGCGGCTGCTCATCCCTCAACCCCGGACCCAGGCCCCCCCACCCAGCCCAGCCCCGCAGCCGAGAGGGAAGTCCCGGGAGCAGCCAGCCTTACCTGACACGTCGTGGAAGCTGAGGACCTGGTTCATGAGGGCAGTGGACACGATGATCTCGTCGAAGACCGGCGTGCTGCCACCCACCATGCCCGTGTTGCCCCCCTGTGGGTTCACGGCCAGGTTCCGCTCGTGACAGTACCTGGGACACGCCGAGGACCAGGGTCAGGGCCCTCTCCCACTCCTCCAGCACCCCGGGGGGGACGCCATCAGGGCTGTGAGACCCCAGCCTCTCCCGCCACCAAGCCTCCTGCCGTAGACTCGAGGGGGTGCCTCCTCCGTCCCCACATACGACAGGAGTCTGAGGGGCAAGTGACCCCGGCAAACCGCGGAGGGAGCAGGCGGCCATGGTCTTCCCAGGTCATGGACGAGGCCCCGGGCCGCCCCGAGGCCGCTCCTCCAAGCGCCAACAGAGTGCCCACTGCCGCCCTCCCTACTCACCTCAGACAACTGCGGCCCCGGGCACTCGGGGCCCCTCCCACCCCCACCCCACATCTCTGCTCCCCTTCATCCTGCGCTGCCCACCCTTCCCCTGCCCATTGCCCTTCAGAGGCGGGTCAGTCACCAGCAGCACCTCATCCCCAGCCAGCCTCCTACCGAGCAAAGACCTGAAGGGATCGGGCCCTGATGGGTCAGGATCTGGGCACTGGGGCCCCCACCCAGAGGGGCAAGCTGCCCACCTGCGTCACGTGAGCCACCCGGCAGGCGGCCAGCCTCCAGCCCAAGCTCAGACGGAGCAGGGCCAGGTGTCCCTGCACACACCTCCACGGGGCGGCGGGGACAGAGCACTCACGGGTGCTCACCTTCCACGCATCGACAGTGGCGTGGAATAGGAATCAGACCACGGGCATTGCCATGTGGAAGGGAAAAGACCATGACATGGGAGATACAATGTGATGATGCTTAACAACCCACACACGTGCAGGAAAGTGCTGAGCTGACAAACCAAAATGTCATCGGTGGTTATCTTCGGAGTGGAAAATTCTGGTTGCTTTTGCAATTTTTTTTTTCTTTATGGCTGTATGTTTTCCAATTTTTCTATAGTAAACATGAGCGTGTAGGGATAGAAAGCATCAAAGCAGACGTTTTTTCAAGAAAAGGCCTGTGCCCGCCCCTGCAATGGGCGACAAGGCTGCCCGGCGCCCCCTGGAGGCGGCGGGTCCGCTCAGCCTGCTCGGCCCCGCCCTCCCCTGCTCGGCCAGCCCTCCCGTCCCCGCCTGCGTGGCCACGGGCTCTGTGTGCTCCCGGCCCGCGCTGGTGACGAGGGAGTGGGGCGGGCAGGGCGCCTACCTGAGGATGTGTGCCACCTCCTGGGTCGTCCGGGGCCTCAGCAGCACCTTGCTGGAGCCTGCGGGATAGAAGCCACGGTCACTCATGTGGGGCGTCCCGGCCTCCTGGGGAAGCACGCCCGCCAGCCTCCAGGCCTAGAGCCCGAATCGCTGAGGAGGAGGGCCCGGCAGCCCGTGGGCCTGGGGACCTTAGCGGCAGGGGCCTGGAGTCTTCTCCACTGCAAGTGACTGGGTTTCCCAGGGAAGTAACCTGTGTTGTGTGGGGACACCTGAGGCCACATGAACACCCGGCACCTTGCGAGCGGACGCCCATGAGCTTCAGTGTCTGTGGATCATCTTCACCCGAGTCTGTTCTCAGGGAGATGCTTCCTAATGCACCCATTCACCCGCACTCATGAGCTGACCTTCTGCTCCAGGAAGGGGCCTTCTCCACCTCGTGCATTTATAATCTTGATTATCAGATCCACAGCGGTGCAGGCTGTGGACTCTCATTTCTTGGTTATCACAAGTTATTTGATGCCCAGTCGTGACCTCATCTGTTGGCATTCCTGACCACTGCCTCCAAGACAGTGAAGTTTCTCTCTATGCTCTCAGTTTTGCGGAAAGTGCTTTAAGCAGCTAAGAGGCTGCAGGAGGACAAGAGGCTGTCTCGCACATCTTCCTGCTGCGTCACTGACTTTCACGATGCTCTGAGATCAGGTTGTAGTTTCTACCTTATTTTCTTATTATGAAAGCCATTTCTCATTTGTTTTTCATCAAATGAACCGTGTCTGCCCAGGCGGTTGGCTGTCAGGCCTCCAGGTCCTTCAGGGCAGCAGAGTCCAGGGACCCTGTTCACCCGTGAGGCTCCAGTCGGTTTCATTCACTCATTGCATTTCCCAATAATACCTAAGTGCCCACCGTGTGCCCAGACACAGAGAGTAAAAACAAAGTTCTCCCGCCCCACGGAGTTACCTTTCTAATGGGGAAAAGGATAAGAAAATGGTCCAATGTGTTAATAAGGGTAGGCTACAAAGAGAGCAAAGCCCAGAGCAGAGGTCATCGGAGGCAACTCCGGGGAAGCTCCCAGGACGGGAGGGAAGGAGCATCCAGCCTGGAGAGGCTGGCAAGGGAACAGGCAGAAGGGTCAGCTGCACAGGGTCGGGGTGCCCCACCCCCCACTCCCTCCCCACTCCCCACTGCAGCCTCCCTCCCTCTCTGAGCACCCTGCTGTGCCCGCAGTGGGCCACCCTGACCCAGCCCTCCCCACCCTGCCCACCACCTGCCAGCAGCACGCCCAGGGCTCCAATGGCCTAACTCCAGTGGGCCCTCCATGGGCCCTTCCAGACCGTCCTCTCAGTCGGCCGTCTGCCCCCACCACTGCGGAGCCTTCCTGCCCCTGCTCTGCTTCCCCTGCAGCCCTGTCTCTCACTCAAGGAGACTCTGGGCTTGAGGAACCGGAGGCACCCTCCTCACCCCACGGCCTCATCTAGGCACGCACAAACCCAGCAGTGCTCCCGGCTCTTGGTCCCCCAGTCAAGTTTGTGTCCAGAGATCTCGGGGTCAGCACACACCACTCGGGGTCAGCACACACAGCCTCAAAGTCAGCATGCACCACCTCGGGGTCAGCACACACCACTCGGGATCAGCACACACCACTCGGGGTCAGCACACACCACTCGGGGTCAGTGCACACCGCTTCAGGGTCAGCGCACACCGCCTCGGGGTCAGCACACAGCACCTCGGGGTCAGCGCACACCACTCGGGGTCAGCACACACCACTCGGGGTCAGTGCACACCACCTCAGGGTCAACGCACACCACCCGGGGTCACCACACACCACTTGGGGTCAACACACACCACCTCAGGGCCAACACACACCACTTGGGGTCAGCACACACCACTCAAGAGTCAGCACACACCACTCGGGGTCAGCACACACAGCCTCGGGGCTGCTTCCACAGGACCTTGCAGAGCTGACACCTCCTGCCCCACCCTCGGCAGGAGCCTGCTGGTCAGGCAGCAGAGACTTTCTGCTCCAGGACTCAGAGCTGCCTCCTCGAGCCCAGTGGCCCACAGAACAAGCTGTGCCCAGCATTCACACTGCCCACGGACTGCGGGCCTCCCACCTTCCTCAGGGACGTCCCTCCTGTCTCAGTCTCTGAGACACCACGCTGCCCTGCACTCGGAAGGGGGCTCTGTGTCGGGCGGGGCTGGATGCCTTCCATCGAGGGCGCCCGGTAGATAAGCCCAGCACACCCTCCACGGCTCACCTTCAGTCTGGACTGCGCTGCCTCCAGGCCCAGCCTAAGGACCTGGACACCCAGCGTGTCCTAGCATTTCAGGCTTAAATATGCCATCATGTTGTAAACTGTCTTCCACATCTTCTTAATATGCAGGAAGAACATAATGTTGGTTTTTGTAACTAAGTAGGTCATGTTATCTCTGAAATCACTTCAGGATACAACACAAAAGTGAAAGTGTTAGTCGCTCAGTCATGTCCGACTCTTTGTGACCCCATGGACTGTGGCCCGCCAGGCTCCTCTGTCCATGGGATTTTCTAGGCAAGAATACTGGAGTAGGTTGCCATTCCGTTCTCCAGGGGATCTTCTTGACCCAGGTATCGAACCTGGGTTTCCTGCACTGCAGGCGGATTCTTTACCATCTGAGCACCAGGGAAGACAACACAAGGCCTTAGGAAACCTGCTACCAAGAAGGCGAGCTGGGTCCAGAAGGAGAATCTTCAAGCTGGTGCAGGGGGTGTGGCTGGAGGAGAGGGAGGCTGGGGTGGTCAGGCCATCTGGCAGGGCCTGCATCTTGCCCAAGCAAGCTGCAGAGGGGACAACAGGCCCCCCAAAAGACATGTAGACACCCCACCCCGCAGAACCCACAAACATGACCTTCCTTGGAGAAAGGGTCCTTACAGATGTAATTAAGTTAAGGATCTAAACTTGAGATCATCCTGATGAGGGTGGTACCCCAATCCAAGGAAAGGTGACCTCATAAGAGAACAGAGAGGGAAACACAAGGAGAGGCTGTGTGAGGCGGGACGAGGACTGGACGATGTTGTCACAGCCAAGGTCACCTGGAGCCCCAGGAGCTGGAAGAAGCAGGAGAGACTCTCCACTAGAGGGAGCCCTACCCACACCTGAGAACAGAGAGGAGACACCCCAGTAGTTTGAGCCCAGTTTGCGGTTCCTTGCTATATATCAGCCCAGGCATTAGCTGCAGCCATGAAATTAAATGACGTTCGCTCCTTGGAAGCAAAGCTATGACCAACCTAGACAGCATATTAAAAAGCAAACATTACTTTGCTAACAAAGGTCTACTGAAAGCTATGGTTTTTCCAGTAGGCATGTACAGATGTGAGAGTTGGACTATAAAGAAAGCTAAGCACCAAAGAATTGATGCTTTTGAACTGTGGTTGGAGAAGACTCTTGAGAGTCCCTTGGGCTGCAAGGAGATCCAACCAGTCCATCCTAAAGGAAATCAGTCCCGAATATCCACTGGAAGGACTGACACTGAAGCTGAAACTCCATTACTTTGGCCACCTCATGCGGAGAACTGACTCATTGGAAAAGACCCTGATGCTGGGAAAGATTGAAGGCGGGAGGAGAAGGGGACGACAGAGGATGAGATGGTTGGATAGCATCACCGACTCAATGGTCATGAGTCTGAGTAAACTCCAGGAGTTAGTGATGGAGGCCTGGCGTGCTGCAGTCCATGGGGTCGCAAAGAGTTGGACACGACTGAGTGACTGAACTGAACTGAACTGAACTAAAGCGTTCTGAGGAAGTGAGTAGTAGTTAACCACACACCCACCTCAGAGCAGCTGGGGGTGGGGGTCAGCTATTTTATCTTAATTTGCAGATGTCCTATGAAAAGTGTCTGTGACACCACCTACAGCTCCTGCACCCAGTGCTCACCACTGGCCACCTGGAGTTCAGGCTGTTCCTCAACTCTGCCCACGCCAAGCATGAAGTGTGAACAGACCCTCACTCACCTCGGACCATCCTCAGCCAGTCCACGTTGGGAGCCTCGAGCTCCTCCGGGTCTGTGATGACCCTGCCAGGGACGATGTGCTCCAGGGCAGCCAGATCGTCTTCAGACACCACGGAGAAGGGAAGCCGCCGCACAGGGTAGCGTTCCGGGGTCAGCGTCACCTCAGGAGCACGGGAGGAGGCCGAGGAGCTGCCTCGTCGAACCAGGGGGCTGGTGCCCCAGACCCCTCGCAGGCCGCCCAGCTCAGGGATCCTTGACGGACCTGCCCACATCCTCTGTCGCACAGAGGCTCCCTGGACGCAGGCTGCCCGCCAGCAGAAGAGCCACACAGGCCACCTGGGCACACACATCATCACTCCTGCCCTACAAAGTAAGTGATCGGACTTATGACTCTGGAAAAGCACGGAGCTAATACAAGGGAAGCACCTGCAGCAGGGGGAGACAGCTCAGCAGGGCCCAGAAACACACAGTGGCTTCCACGGCTGCGGTGGCAGAGTGAGATTTGGACCACCCGGAAGCAGCGGGATGGGCGGGGACAAGGGACACGAGGCCTTCAGCTGATGCAGCACGGCCCCTGGCAGGAGTCACCCCCTGACAAGTCACCAGACGCACACTCCTGGCTGAGGCCACCCCCACCCCCACCCCTGTGTTAGCTTTAACATCTGCAACAACCTCGCCTCCCTTTCAGCCCCTCTTCCTTCACAAGGAACAAGCAGTTAAGGTGCTATAAGGAACAGATGCCATTTCTCTGGTGGCTCAGCTAGTAAGGAACCTGCCTGCCAATACAGGAAATGCAAAAGACATGGGTTCAATCCCTGAGTCAAGATCCTTTGGGAAAGTAAATGGCAACCCGCTCCAGTATTCTTGCCTGGAGAATCCCATGGGCAGAAGAGCCTGGTAAACTACAGTTCATGGACTGGGTTCGCAGAGTTGGACACGACTGAGCGCGCACATTACACATGCATGTGGTGGTTCAATCTTTAAGTCTTGTCCGACTCTGCGACCCCATGGACTGTAGCCAGCCAGGCTCCTCTGTCCCTGGGATTGCCCAGGCAAGAATACTTGATAGGGTTGCCGTTTCCTTCTCCCTGGAATCTTCCTGACCCAGGGAGTGAACCAGTGTCTCCTGCATTTGTATTTTACCACGGAGCCACCAGGGAACGAGTGGTTAAAAAAATAAATCTTATGTTTGTGGATATGCTACAAGTTCACAAACAGCGGGGGGCAGAGGGAAGCTCCTCTGGGCCCCCGCCCTGGGGGCCCGGGAGCGCGCACACTCGTCAGGCAGCCCCCAGGGAGGGGAGCGGGGTGGCGCACCGGTGTTCCGGTTGCTTCCAGCTCACCTGGCGCTCAGACCACCTGGGCGGCACGAGGGACAGCGCCCTCGCGCAGGGTCACACCTCCGAGTGACCCTGAGGACACGGTCGGAGCCCCTGGGTGCCTGGAAGCAGCAGGCACCGCACCAGAGGGGGTGAGGCTTAAAGGAGGCGCGGACGCCGACCCCACCCCCCACGGTTCAGGGCTACGCAGGGCAGGTGAGCGGCGAGCTCGGGGCCGGACTCCCGCCGGGGGCCGGGTGCCTGGGGTCACGCCCGTCAGGGGACCACCGGGAGCCACCGGGGACCAGCGGGGACCAGGAGTGGTCGCCCCAGCCAGGGGGTGACGACCAAGCCCCGGCGCCACGGGCACGCAGAGTCACCCAGGCTCGTCCGGAGGGCCCCGGGCGCGCGGCCTGCGCGATCGCGTGACCGGATCAGCCCGGGCGGTGGGATCCGAGGGTCCCGCGGGCGCCCGCCGCCCCGCGACCGCCCGCCGCCCCGCGACCGCGCGCTTCCGCCGCCCCCGGCCCGCGGCCCTCAGCCCTTCCGCCGAGACCCCGAGCGGCCGCGCGCACGCACTCACGTCCACGTCCCCGCCGCAAGCTTCGTGCCGCCGCGGAGAGTGGGCGGGGCGGAGGGACTGCGCCTGGGGCGGAGGGACTGCGCCTGGGGCGGAGGGACTGCGCCTGCGCCGGAGGCCCTCGGGGACTCCGCCCACCCCGGCCCAGTCCTGTTACTGGCCCCGCCCTCTGCCTCGGACCCCGCCCATCCATGGCCCCGCCCCTTTCGCCGTGAGGCCCGGCTTCATCCAGCTTCCCCCGCGAGGTTAGCTGGCCTTGAGCCGCGTTGGCACCGTCTAGCGTGGTCCCTGCACACGCTCCCACCCCTTCCACGAAGACTGGCCCACGTGTACATCCCGCCTGACCCCAGAGCGTAACTCTGCCCTCCTAAGGGATCCCCAGAGGACCGTGGCTCACCCTCTCAGTTTCGGGGAACGCTGGCACCCAGAGCCCCGGTCCCCTGGCCCCAGCTCTGGCAGAAGGGGAGATATCCCTGCGGGTCAGGAATGAACTGCAGGCAGAGCCCGAGGGCGCCCCGAAGCTGCTGTCCAAGCATCTTGAACAGAACCCCAGTGACTCAAGTGAGGGGGCCTAGGATCTGGGCTGGGGCAATCCCGCTTCAGGAAGGCCCAGACCACCCCCAGAGGACACAGAGTCGGCCTCTCAGGACTGCCGCTTTCTCCAGCCCCTCCAGTTTGTGCCCGCCCGGTGCCAGGCTGCCACCCACGGCTCCAGGGTATCTGCTCTGTGGGCCTGTTGGGCTCTGCCAGCCGGGGCACCAGGCTGGGGGGGCTCCCAGCCTGACAGGTGTTTCCCGCCCCAGCCACCCAGGGGCCAGCTCCCAGCCACCTCCCCCTCCCCCGGGGGTGCCAGCAGATGTCTCCACAGACATCTGAGCCCCAGCTCCATGGGGCTGTCCTTCCCAGCGCTCCTGGGGCCGAGCCACCCAAGGTGGCCCAGCAGCCCGTCTCGGTGCGGTTGACAGGAGTGACCTTCTGTGGGACGCCAAGATGATGACCCCTGGCCGAGGGCACGACAGACAGACAGCGAGTGTACATGGCCCAAGGCCAGGATGGGAAGGCACGCTGCAGGTTCTGCCAAGTAGAACAGAGATCCTGGTGGTCCCTGCAGATTGGCAGAGAGCACAAGCTAGGACTGGATCAACAACCAGCCACCTGCCAAGGGTGTGTGTTCTCCTCTGGTAAGGATGCCTTATCAGGAACAGCAGCTGCAGCGGGGGGTCTCACCACTTCTCCAGTAGACCTTCTTCCCTAAGACCTGCCTGCCTCTTCAGTGAGTCAGTGGGGGCACACTAGAATGCACCCTGCCTTTTTGGGTTATGCCCTGGCAGGAAAAGAACACTCCAGACACTTCCCCCGGCCCCTCCTACCATGACAGCCCTTGCTCCACAGGTCGTGGCCATCCTGCCAGTGGTCAAGTCCACCTATTTCAATGACACAGACACTGCGGAGGTAACCAGAGAGAGACCTGGGCACCCATCCAGACAAATGTCACCTTATCACTCAATCACCACAGGCCTCACTCTGACCACAGACCAGTGGCATCCACAGCCTCCCTTCCAGCAAGGACCCAAGTCCAGGAACTGGGCTTCATCTGAAAGTGAGTGCCCGGTGACGGAGCTGGCTTTCAATGGACCCTGTTAGCACTCATCAAGGAAATGTCCTGAGAGGTTTAGTTGCCACAGGGCCTTGGCGCCAAGCAGGTCTAGAAGGCAAAGCTTCTGTTCCAGAGGAGGCACCTTATGCCCCTAGGAAGCAACCCCCAGTGCCCTCACTAAGAACACATCTTTCTTGTGAGCTTGGGACCAACTTCTGATGCCATGAAACAGCTGAGGCCCAAGCTGAGGCCCAGGAGCCCGCCCGGGCCCCTGGCGGACTCACCCACTCTGCCCACTGCACGTCCCGTTCAAGAGTCCACACAGCATCTGGTCCCAGCTCTCGACACTGAAGTCTTATTTCCAGAAATGATGCATCCTCAAATGTTTGTTCCAAAAAATACTTTATTCATTAAACAATATATCCATCATCTATAACATGATCCAAAAATACAGATATACATCTTTACATTATTTAATAAAAAGATTTACAATATTTCTTTCTTTTACAAAGAGAACATCAATAATAATTCCTTGAAAACGCAATGTAACATTCAGGTTAAAGCTGCATCATCTTTTTGGATGAGATGTGGTAAGATGAACACCACAAATACATACTAGCAGGGAGGAAACTTCACAGAACTCTCTCCTGAATGAGAACGCTTTTCTTAGACTTCCCATTTTAAAATTCCTCTCGGCACAGGTAGTGGAAACCAACCACACTGTTCACAAAACGCTGAGGAAAGCCTGAAACCCTACGTGTCCCAGCCCTGCACAGGGCACACCCTGGCTGTGACCACACGGGAAGCTGCTCTTTGGACAGTGTTATTGCTCGAAGCAGTCCTCGCCAAGGGCTGCCAGTGACAGGTCAGGAGGCAGGGCTGACATGCGGCTGGCCAGTGTCCCGCGCACCCCTGCAACTGCCCGGGGGGCTGCATCCAGGCGTCTGCCGCCTCAGGGCAGACGGGAGGCTGCCTGGCTCAGGTGGCCCTGCCAGCACCAGGATCGCGTCCGCCTGCTCAGGGGCCCAGCCCGCGGCAGGGATGGCCACACAGACCTCATGTGCCAGCCGTGAGCCCCTCGAGCTCCGCCGCAGAGGCGGGAGCCCGGCTTAACACCTGCTCCCACCAGTGCAGTGCGTGCTCTCCTGCAGGAAAACAAAAGATGTTTCAACCACTGCTGACAGATATGAGATGCACTGGAAACGGACGACGCTGCTTCTCTGCACAAGAAGCCTCTTCCCTCATAAGCAGACCCTGAGGAGGACCCTGGGGGCCCGCAGCCTCGCTGGCTCAGGAGTGCTGCGGCAGTGGCCAGGCTGCCCCTGGTGCCAGCCCCCGCGACCAGCGAGCGTCCCAACGGGGGCAAGGGGCAAGCAGTGTGGGCTCCCGCCAAACCCGCGGGCCGGGATGCTCCGGACCACACGGCTTCCCCAGCGTCTTCCGCCTGGCGGGCAGCGGCATGGTCAGGTGGCATTAGGCCGGGGCCCAAAAACATTCTGGGGACTCTCTCTGTTCTGCTCGTGTTTTCCATTTTCTCCAAAGCTACATGCGTGTTATTTCGGTGATGTTACTGTAACCAGCAAAAGTAAACGCTGGAAACATTAGCACAGAAACTTTCCCAAAAAGGTCCGCAAATGGCATGTTACACGCTGACAAGCAGGGTGACACCATCCAACTTTAAACAAAAGCTTCTGACAGGGAAGTCAGTCACCTTCCTAAGGAACAGCCGGGGCAGCGGGCACCCCGCTGAGGCTTAGGACCGCCGTCCACCTGCGTCCACAAATCCCCCTCCCGTGGGAACAGTGATGTGAATGGGTCGAAGATGAAATGAGCTTCTGAAGAATCACCACAAACGTA